CCGACCCCCTCCTGCAGGAGCTCACATCACACGTGACACCCACTTACATTTACATACATTTATCCCAGTCCTACTTCAACAACAGGCAGCCTCGTCGGCGCCGCTCTAGCGTTTCACAAAGAGACACCGTACCATTGTAGCGTCACACCACCGTCATGATTAAACTGGAACTGCCGCTAACAGATTGGCAGCGACACAGAACAGCAGCTCACCTGTTCATTTCCTCCAGACAATCAGTGGCGAAGAAGAAGCTCTTGATTTTGGGATGACAGGCTTTGAAGGCGCTGCAGTCAGTCAGGGAGAAGAAGCTGATTAGTGTTTTTGTGTTTGTGCAGCCGGTTTGTTTTGCTGTCACGTCGCGACTGCGCTTGATTAGTAACTTCGGCGACACGTGAGGGACACTCACAATTTCCGTCTGCACTCGATGGCGCGGTCTATTCTGAACTCGGGGAGGCTGATGAAGCCCTCGGCCTTCTCGTCCTGCGGGCACAGACAGATGGAGGGCGGTGGTGAGTCGTCAACACGGGGAACAAATGATGGGGATGTTTAATTTGGGACAGTCATCCATAGATTAGTCATCCATATGAAAACAACAACATATGTTGTTTACGTTTACCAAACACCATCAGATAAATCACATTTATGACCTTTGGTTTTTTTTTTTCCTCTGTGTAAATCTGGAAAATTCCCCTTTTATTTTCCACTTATGTTCGAAATGTAATCTTTGATTTAAAAATGTTTAAATGTCATCTGTTCAGGCAGTGTTTTTCAAAACGATAAAAACATTTTCTCAACTAATTGTTATTCTATTTTAAATTCTTATTTAAACTAACACACATTTTAAATCACTGTATTCTTTCACTTTTCTGAATGTGATTGGAGTTAAAATTTCAGTAATTCATTGTTTCACCAGGAAAAATAAAATGTCACTTTGTGAAGTAATCTGGTCACTCTGCATTCACAACACAGTGTAACCAACATGATCAAAAACTAATTATAGCAACAACAAAAAATGTCAAATAAAACTGGGGTAAAATTAGGGGGTTGATTTAATATAAAAATACAGGCAGAAAGTTTGGGAAATTAATTTATTTGGCCTCCTGTTTTATGACTGTTACATCAGTCTTGACTACATGATGACTGGTTGGCAGTAATTACTAATTATCCCTTTAAAGATTCTGCTAATGACAACAGGAACAACCAAAAATAATTGAAAAGCCTCACGTTTTGGTTGGTGTACCAGTAGAGGCAGGACTCCTTGAGGATGAACCAGTACTTCCTCCATTTCTGGGTGAAGTAACCTTTGGCGTCCTTCTTCTTCCAAAGCCAGCCTTCACAGTCTCCGTGGCCGAGGTCTTTGCAGGAAATCCTTCTTCGACTGGCGCTGGTGAGGGAACCTGTTGATAACGGAGTCGGTCGAGGAAAAAAAAAAAAAGGAATGAAACTTTGCTCTTTACTGTTCGACTGTTGTTTATTTGTTAGAGTTAAATGATGACAAAAAAAAAACGGCAGAGAGAAGAGGGAAGAAACTCTTACCTTTACTTCTCTTTTTGGTTTTCGTTCTTAGTGAGGTGTAATGAAAAGACTAAGAAAAAAAACAGAAAAAATGATTGAAGATCAATACAAAATTAAATATTCTATAATGAAATTAGCAGCAGAGAAAAAAATCAAAAAATATTATAATTATATGTTTATTTTGTAATTTAGATGTGGACCTGATTGGACAGTTCAGCGGGCTGAATTAGGCCCGCGAGCCACCAGTTGATAATCACTCAAATGCAGGGAGAAGCAGTAAAGCTTCAAATCCATAGTTTTTTCATTGGTCATTCATTTTCTAGTTGTTTTTTTTGGGGGGGAGGGTATCTATCAGCCCAGCGACGGTGGATAAATAAATATAATAATTATTTTTGTCTGGGAACAAACGACAGCATACACTCCTGGTTTTCTTCCTGACAAGACTCACTGAAGTCGCTTTGTTAAAAAAAAAAAAAAAAAAAAAGGGGACTCAAACTCGGACGGACGACGACAGGCTGTGATGTCACAGCGGTCCAAATATAGAAAACACGATCACCTGGCACGCCTTTCATATTTTATTTATTTATATCAGACTGATAATGGATTAAACCTCAAGAAGTACGTGGTGTCCTTGTCTGACACATGTTAAGTTCTTCTTTGGATGTAATCCATTTACGGGGGGGGGGGGGACAGACGAGGGGGGGGGGTGACGGTTGCCAGGAGATTGATGATGTAACCGTCAGGCTCCTGGTGCTTCATTTATTAACAGGTTTGAAAGAAAGATGAAGAAAAGACACCAGGAAAACTGACACAAACCAAGCTGAAAAAAACACACTGTATAAAGTGTTTAATACTAACATACAGTAAAGGGTGAGTCAAAAAGTTTAAAGACAAATTTTGTATTAAAAAATGAAAAATATTTTTTATTCGGAGCAAAGATCTCAAATTATCCAAGATTTGCTCCAGGTTCAGGTCCAATCCCAAACCAAACTCTTAACCAACATTTCGTTTTTTGTAAAATTTTTCAGTTTCATTTTTTTTTTTGTATTTTTCTGAGCGCTTTTTGATTTATAGATCTGTAACTTTGCACTTGGGGTGTCAGACATAAGGCCCGCGGGCCAAAACCAGAACACTAGGGCATTTAATCTGGTCCGCTTGATACATTTTAAAAGTAAAAAAATGAAAA